TGTGCTTAGTTGCATGCTTGTCTTTCCAACACATCCTAGAACTCTTTGATCTAACAGCGACCTGACCAACCATGGCATTTCTTTGAACTTAGTGCCTTTGGCTTTTCCCATTGGCTCTTCCTAACTTCTTCCTGCAATTTTTGTGTGCCCTAGAATTCCATTTGTTCAAAGATGCCAGTTGTTTAAGTGCCAAATATTTGAGGTTTTGTGATGTTATCGGCAATTCGGATATTTTACATCAGGGAATTTCAGCAATGCTCCAGTGCTTAAATGATTTTTAATGAATATGTATTCAAGAAAATGCAAAAAATAAAAAATGAAATATGAAAAAATTAACAAGAAACAATGATAAATATGAAATAGATGATTGTATTATATTGCTTATCAGTGATAATAAGCAATTTTCTTAGCTCTGCAAAAATCCACTGCAATTTCTTCTCTCAAATTGAAGCAGTTCAATAATTTTATAAAATCCATCTCTACCAGTCTCTTGTGCTTATTTAAGCTGCATTATAATTGGGATGGAGAAGTGTTGGTATAAAGAACATTAGAATATTAGAAGATAACATGTAAAAAACCTATAGGATAACAAGTCCTAAAAAGGAATATTGAAGTAATTAGTTACATTTACTCACTTAGAAAGTCAATGTTTGCATGTCACATTGGTCATGATTGTTTTTTGATTTACAAACAAACTAGACACAATGGAACTCAGTGTTAGTAATTCTCTCTCTCTCTTTCTCTCTCTGTCTTGCTCTTGCTCTCTCTCTCTCTAATACTAACAGAACTGACCTACAGATTTTATCTGGAGAGGGATGGAAAAATCTGAACTTTTTGTACAACTGTAATATGACATCATTTGTGACTCTGAATTGTTTTTTGCTAAACTGAATATAGATGTAAAAGCCAATGAGTTGGTCCTTTATGAAATGTAGCCGGATAGTCACTGGGTCAGCTTCCTTTATAAATAAAAGGGAAAATTCCAATTACATTTTAGTATGTGTGGAAAATTTTCCAATGAATTAATTTTAGAAAGAAAGAATAAAGAAAGAAAGAAGGAAGGAAAGAAAGAAAGAAAGAAAAGAAAAGAAAGAAAAAACAGAAGGAAAGGAGAGAGGGAGGGAAGGACAAGGAAAAGAGAAGAGAAAAGAAAAGAAAAAACAAAAGAAAAGAAAAGAAAAGAAAAGCCTTTCCTTATCCTTACATTGAAATTTGAACTAAAAGATACTCTAACAAAATTTGGTTTTTGACACATTTGTGTTAAAATTGTACCAAATTGGATGTGTCTGAGACCTGGATTCTACTGCCCCTAGAGGAGGAAGATGGAATACATATACCATTTTGTGTGTCAACTCCTTCGGGAAACATCTAAGAACTAGAGAACTGTCCTTTGCAAATCATTCTATCCTTGGCATAGGCTGGAACCTGAAAATTTGTGTGATAGAAGTGAATCCTCTTATTTGAAGCTGTTGTTCTTTTGTAAAACATAATTTCCCCTAGGGTGGGAGTCATTTATTCTGTTTTAATCATTTACAATGTGAAACAGAAGCCTAAAATTTTGGCCGGGTGTGGTGGCTCATGCCTGTAATTCTAGCACTCTGAGAGGCCGAGGTGGGAGGATCGTTTGAGCTCAGAAGTTTGAGACTAGCCTAAGCAAGAGCGAGACCCCATCTCTACTAAAAAAAATAGAAAGAAATTAGCTGGACAACTAAAAATATATATATATATATAAAAAATTAGCCAGGCATGGTGGCGAATGCCTGTAGTCCCAGCTACTTGGGAGGCTGAGGCAGAAGGATTGCTTGAGCCCAGGAGTTTGAGGTTGTTGTGAGCTGGGCTGATGCCACAGCACTCACTCTAGTCCTGGCAACAAAGTGAGACTCTGTCTCAGGAAAAAAAAAAAAAAAAAAAAACAGCCTAAAATTTTATTTTGGCAAGAAAAAAAAGGATGGCCACTATTCAACAAGCACTACAGTAAAGGTATTTGTCGCAGACTTTGCTTTTTTTATATATACAATTTTGTCCATGGGCTGGGCTTATTGAATCCATATCATATGAACTGAGATCTATATGCCTATACATATTTTTACTCAATAACTATGGCAAAGCCATTATTCTAGGCTCTGGAGATATCAATCATAGAAACACATGGAGTTATAGATTTTTAAAAATTAATTGTATATATTAATATACAGGTGTTCATTCAGCCAGCCTTCTTTCAGAAAGTAATTACAATACTTATCCTCAGTTATACTTTCTGTGGTTTCAGGCACTCAAGGCTAACCATGGTCCATAAATATTAAATGGAAAATTCCAGAAATAATTCATAAGTTTTAAAAGCTATATCACAATGCCTATGTCATTCACCTCACTTCATCTCATCATGTAGACATTTTATCCTCTCAAGTCATCATAAGAAGGTGAGCATAATACAATAAGACAATGAGAGAGAGAATAAAAGAGAGACCATATTCACATGACTTTCATTACAGTATATTGTTATGATTGTTTTATTTTGTTATTTGTTATTGTTAATCTCTTACTGGGCCTAATTTATAAATTCAACTTTATCATAGGTGTATATGAAAGATACAGTAGATATAGGGTTCGGTACTACGTGTGGTTTCAGGTACCTGCTGGGTGTCTTAGGATGGATCCCTCATGGAAAAGGGGGCACTCCTGTAATGAGGTTCTAATATGTGTCTGTTAATGGTCTGGTTCTAGGAATACAGAGGCAACTACTAGAGGAAATTTTTTTCTTTGATGGAAATTATTTTCTTTTGGGAGTGAGAGAAATAAACAAAAAATAAATATGTAATTGTAGAAAGTATTGTCAGGTAAAAAATTAGATTTGTGATTACAAAATAACTGAGGGAGAGTGGGCATTTCAAATATGAACTTAATGAAGAAGAATCCAGCCACACAAAAATCTGGAGAAAATATAATCCAGCTGGAAGTAAAAAGCGCAGAGACAACAAGGAGTCTAGAGTGTTGAAATAACTACTGATGATGTAAGCCTTCATCAGAGTGAGCTGGAAAGAGAACTAGTATGAGTTAAGAGTGGTCTAGTAGGCAGCAGCCAGATGATGAAGGAAATTATGGGTTGTGGTATGAAGTTTGAATTTTAAGTATGATGAGAAACCACTGTACAGGTTTTAAGCAAAAAAAGTGACGAGATAAAATGCATGTTTTCAAATTTTTATTCTGCTTGAAAAATAAACTACGTGTATATTCTGTATTTGAGGCCACTGCCTTGGGGCACTGTTTGCCAAAGGGTCTTTAAAAGACTCTTGCCAGTTTCACTACTGCTTATGATGTACAAAAGCACAACAGAACATCTCTCCCATCCTAACAATAAGGAAAAGGCAGATAATCTAGAAAAGTATAGCTTTCTTGAGTCCATCAGAAACTTGAGGTTACAAAAGAATGAAGCAAACTGAATGCCAAGGAGTGACAAGTACATCCAAGAAGATTTGGGAGGCATGGGCTACTACTTTTTTTACAGAGCATGAGAGGAAGAGATGACTGCTATATAAATGGGTAATAAACAATCAGCTAAAATTTTAATAAAATCTAAAAGGCTGAATGTGGATTAACACATCAATTTAGAATAACTGAGAGCCCCACACACAATGGCAGTTTTCACTCACTCACAGAATATTCTTCATGGACCTCTACCAGGTGCTCGTAAGAATGCTGGGTGTGAGGCAAGAGAACAAAGTAAGCCCCCTTCGGTGACACACATACGAAAGAGGTGATTGGCTGCCACTGAGGGACAAGCACACAATACTACTAATAATTCACCAGACCCTATTCTTATGAGAAGGAAACTTCTCAGCCATTGTGAAAGGGGCAGCAACTCCTGCTCCCTGGGCTTCTGGGGACGCGTACAAGCAAAACCACTGGAGGAAGGGGAGGAAACACTCCTTTCTGCCCACGTCACCAGGCAAAGATTCATGGCTTCTGGAGGAAGGGTAGAAACAAAAGCTGTCTGCCTCTTGTCAAAAGGGGAGAAAATTCTCTAGGGCTCAGAATTATGCCTGATATAAAGCAGAATCTATTGCTGCTGATGGAGGGGCAGAAAAAAAAATCCTTCCTGCCCAAGCCTGCTAAAGGTACATAGCAGAGTTTGACTACCTTTGGAGGAATAGGCAGGAATAACGAGGAGATGCCATTTCCCAGGCTCAGACAGAAAGACTCTAATACTGAATCTGGACCAGAAGAATAGAGAAATCCTTCGCTTTTATCATAAGTTTAGCAGAGACTGCCAAGCAATAATAATACACCAGTATGTGTGTTGAGGCCAGCAAGAACACAAGGAAGGCTGTCTTTGTGGTACAGGTGTCTAGAACCTACTGAAAACTGTACGTGGAGTAAATATAAAGAAGCTCTGGCACCCCAAGACCCGCATTAAACACAGGATAGCAGAAGCTTACCACTGAAGGAATTTGAAGTGTGCGATGCATTGAAAATAACAGTAACAAACACAAAATCGATAGCTAGGTAAACCACTGAATAGATTGGCTCTATTGGCCACACTAACAGCTTGACAGAAAAAGAAACAAGCCCATTTCAAGGCATAAATACTATTTTGTTCAATCTCAACTCTTCCATAAAACATGTTGTCAAGAATTCAGTTATAACTAGGAGACACACAAAAAGGTAAGGAAAAAAATTCATTCTCATAAGATACAGCGATCAACAGAAGCAGACTCAGGAATGCCTCAGATGTGGAAACAACCAGAAATTTTAAAATAATTATGAACAATACATTTAAGACTCTATTAGAAAATATGGACAATAAGAGGAACAAATAGGGGAATTTCAGCAGAGATAGAAACTATAAAAAATGGCAAAGACAATGTGTGAAATTTAAAAGAATGCTACTAGGGATCAAGAATTCTTTTGTTGGCCTTTTCAATGAATTGGGCATAACTGAGGGAAAAAACTGAATTTAAAGAGAGGAAAAAAGAGATTATTTAAAATAAAACAAAAGAGGCGATTCCGTCCTGCGCGGCTGTTCTTTGGAGCAGTAGTCGTGTATCTCCGTCCACCTTCTCTCCTACCTAAGTGCGTGCCACCGCCCCATGGAAGATTTGATGGACATGGACATGAGCCCCCTGAGGCCCCAGAACTATCTTTTCGGTTGTGAACTAAAGACCGACAAAGATTATCACTTTAAGGTGGATAATGAGGAAAATGAGCACCAGTTATCTTTAAGAACGGTCAGTTTAGGGGCTGGTGCAAAGGATGAATTGCACATTGTTGAAGCAGAGGCAATGAATTACGAAGGCAGTCCAATTAAAGTAACACTGGCAACTTTGAAAATGTCTGTACAGCCAACGGTTTCCCTTGGGGGCTTTGAAATAACACCACCCGTGGTCTTACAGTTGAAGTGTGGATCAGGGCCTGTGCATATTAGTGGGCAGCACTTAGTAGCTGTGGAAGAAGATTCAGAGTCAGAAGATGAAGAGGAGGAGGATGTGAAACTCTTAAGTATATCTGGAAAGCGATCAGCCCCTGGAGGTGGTAGCAAAGTTCCACAGAAAAAGGTAAAACTTGCTGCTGATGAAGATGATGATGATGATGATGATGATGATGATGATGATGAAGATGATGATGATGATGATGAGTTTGACGATGAGGATACTGAAGAAAAAGCTCCAGTAAAGAAATCTGTACGAGATACTCCAGCCAAAAATGCACAGAAATCAAACCAGAATGGAAAAGACTCAAAACCATCAACACCAAGATCAAAGGGTCAAGAATCCTTCAAAAAACAGGAAAAAACTCCTAAAACACCAAAAGGACCTAGTTCTGTAGAAGACATTAAGGCAAAAATGCAAGCAAGTATAGAAAAGGGTGGTTCTCTTCCCAAAGTGGAAGCGAAGTTCATCAATTATGTGAAGAATTGCTTTCGGATGACTGACCAGGAGGCTATTCAAGATCTCTGGCAGTGGAGGAAGTCTCTTTAAGAAATAGTTTAAACAGTTTGTTAAAATTTTCCGTCTTATTTCATTTCTGTAACAGTTGATACCTGGCTGTCCTTTTTATAATGCAGAGTGAGAACTTTCCCTACCGTGTTTGATAAATGTTGTCCAGGTTCCATTGCCAAGAATGTGTTGTCCAAAATGCCTGTTTAGTTTTTAAAGATGGAACTCCACCCTTTGCTTGGTTTTAAGTATGTATGGAATGTTATGATAGGACATAGTAGTAGCAGTGGTCAGACATGGAAATGGTGGGGAGACAAAAATATACATGTGAAATAAACCCAGTATTTTAATAAAGTAGCACTGTTTCTCTTTTATTCACTTATTTAACTTCTTTGTACTCTGTCAAATAAATG